GCGGCCTTCGATACCGTCGATCACGGTATCCTTCTGGGACGCCTCGAGGATATGGGACTTGGGGGTACTGCCTTGCAGTGGCTCTGGTCCTTTCTTGAGGGTCGGTCCCAGAAGGTGTTATTGGGTGACACCTGTTCGGCCCCACAACCGTTGTTGTGTGGAGTCCCACAGGGTTCAATCCTGTCCCCGATGTTGTTTAACATCTACATGAAGCCGCTGGGGGAGATCATTCGGAGTTTCGGACTGAGATGTTATCTCTACGCAGATGATGTCCAGATCTGTCACTCCTTCTCACCTGTCACCAAGGAGGCTGTCCAGACCTTGAATCGGTGTCTAGCTGCTGTGTCGGACTGGATGAGAGCTAACAAATTGAAACTGAATCCAGACAAGACAGAGGTCCTACTGGTCAGTCGTAAGGCCGAACAGGGCATAGGGTTACAGCCTGTGCTGGACGGGGTTCCACTCCCCCTGAAGACGCAGGTTCGCAGCTTGGGAGTGATCCTGGACTCATCGCTGAGCCTGGAACCCCAGGTCTCGCGGTGGCCGGGAGAGCTTTTGCACAATTAAAACTTGTGCGCCAGCTGCGCCCGTACCTTGGGAAGCCGGATCTGGCCACGGTGGTCCACGCTCTTGTTACATCCCGAATAGACTACAGCAACGCACTCTATGTGGGGTTGCCTTTGAAGACTGTTCGGAAACACCAACTAGTCCAGCAAGAGGCAGCGAGATTGCTCAGAGAGCATACCACCCCTCTGTTATGTCAGCCCCACTGGCTGCTGATCCAGTTCCAAGCACAATTCAAAGTGCTGGTTTTGACCTACAAAACCCTATACGGCTCCGGTCCGGCATATCTGTCTGAACGCATCTCCCTCTACGTCCCACCTCAGAATCAGATCATCTGGGGAGGCCCTGCTCACGACCCCACCTCTATCACAAGTGAGGCTGGTGGGGACGAGGAGCAGGGCCTTCTCAGTGGTGGCCCCTCACCTGTGGAATTCACTCCCAGGGGAGATCAGATCAGCAACATCCCTCCTCTCCTTTAGAAGGAAATTAAAAACGTGGTTATGGGACCAGGCCTTCGGGCAACCTGGCAGCTAAGGACAATGGACGACTAGAATTAACAGGACTGACAATGTGGAATTGAAACTATGGACTATGAGACGGCGAACGCTGAATGCTAAACTGGTTTATTGACGTGTTGTAGAACTGAGAACTGACTATTTAATTGTTTTTAACTGTTTAATTGCTGCTATACTGTTTTTACTGTTGTATTCTAAAGCCTTTGACTGTGTGGATCATAATAAATTGTGGCAAGTTCTTAGTGGGATGGGCATCCCAAGCCCCCTTCCCTCTCTCCTGAGGAATCTGTACAAGGACCAAGTAGCAACAGTCAGAACTGACCACGGAACAGGAGACGGGTTCAAGATCGGGAAAGGCGTACGGCAAGGCTGCATCCTCTCACCCAACCTTTTTAACTTGTATGCAGAACACATCATGCAGATGTGCGGGGCTGGATGAATGCAAAGCTGGGGTGAAAATTGCTGGAAGAAACATTAACAACCTCAGATATGCAGATGACACCACTCTGATGGCCGAAAGCGAGGAGGAGCTGAGGAGCCTTCTAATCAAGGTGAAAGAGGAAAGCGCAAAAGCCGGGTTGCAGCTAAACGTCAAAAAAACCAAGATTATGGCAACAAGAATGATTGACAACTGGAAAATAGAGGGAGAAAATGTGGAGGCCGTGACAGGGTTTGTATTTCTAGGGGCAAAGATGAGTGCAGACGCAGACTGTGGCCAGGAAATCAGAAGACGCTTCCTTCTTGGGAGGAGAGCCATGTCCAGTCTCGATAAAATAGTAAAGAGTAGAGACATCAGACTGGCAACCAAGATCCATTGCCTAGTCCAAGCCATGGTCTTCCCTGTAGTCACCTACGGATGTGAGAGCTGGACCTTCGGGAAGGCTGAGTGAAGGAAGAGAGATGCTTTTGAGCTGTGGTGTTGGAGGAAAGTGCTGAGAGTGCCTTGGACTGCGAGAAGATCCAACCAGTCCATCCTCCAGGAAAGAAAGCCCGACTGCTCACTGGAGGGAAAGATACTAGAGACAAAGTGGAAGTCCTTTGAATGCCACATCATGAGGAGACAGGAAAGCCTAGAGAAGACAATTATGCTGGGGAAAGTGGAAGGCAAAAGGAAGAGGGGCCGACCAAGGGCAAGATGGATGGATGGCATCCTTGAAGTGACTGGACTGACCTTGAGGGAGCTGGGGATGGTGACGGCCGACAGGGAGCTCTGGCGTGGGCTGGTCCATGAGGTCACGAAGAGTCGGAGACGACTGAACGAATGAACAACAACAACATTGTATTGTATTGCTGTATTGTTGCCAGCATCGAATTGTGCCTTTGTAAGCCGCTCTGAGTCCCCCTTGGGGTGAGAAGGGCGGGGTAGAAGTGTCCAAAATAAATAATAATAAAAGTCGTTGACGTGCTGGCTGATACCAAAACAAGGTTAAAAAACACAACTCTCTTACCTGTCTGGCCCGCCCTTGTATCCAATTAATGTACCTCCTCCTCTGCCTCTCAGATCTTGCTCCTGAAGACTGCAGTGAAGCGGTGCAGGGTCAGCATGTGCGAGGTCTGAGAGGCAGAGAAGGAGGGACACGAATAGGAAAAGTACTATATTGAAATCAAATCCGATGCTTTTAAAAAAAATATTTGGTGTGCTTGGAGCAAACTTTTGTTGAGAGGTGATTAGATGTCCTTGCCTGCTTCCTCTCTGCTGTTGTGCTGTGGCAATTTTAGAGTTTTTTTTCATACTGGTACAGCCAGATTTTGTTCATTTTCATGGTTTCCTCCTTTCTGTTGAAATGTTCCACATGCTTCTTGTGGATTTCAGTGGCTCCTCTGTGTAGCCTGACACGGTGGTTGTGAGAGTGGTACAGCATTGCTGTGTTCTCCAATAAAATGCTGTGTCCTAAAATTGCTTGCTCTAAAATTGCAACAGCACAACAACAGAGAGGAAGCAGTCAGGGACATCTAATCACCTCTCAACAAAAGTTTGTTCCAAGCACAGTCAGCCCATTGTATGCTAATCAAGGTGGTCAGTTGAAACATTCCCACTTAGCTCCAGCAGACAAGAGTTCTTTGTCCCACCCTGGTCATTCCACAGATATATAAACCCAATTTTCCTAGTTCCAACACACCTCACAACCTCTGAGGATGCTTGCCATAGATCAGTGTTTCTCAACCTTCCTAATGCCGCGACCCCTTAATACAGTTCCTCTTGTTGTTGTGACCCCCCAACCATAACATTCTTTTGCTACTTCATAACTATAATTTGGCTCCTGTTATGAAACATAATTTGGGAGTTGTAGTTGTTGGGATTTATGGTTCACCTACAATCAAAGAGTATTATTAACTCCACCAATGATGGAATTGAACCAAACTTGGCACACAGAATGCCCACGACCAACAGAAAACTCTGGAAGGGTTTGGTGGGCATTGACCTTGAGTTTGGGAGTTGTAGTTCACCTACAGAGAGCACTATGGACTCAAACAATGATGGATCTGGACCAAACGTGGCATGAATACTCAGTATGCTAAATGTGAACACTGGTGGAGTGTGGGGAAAATAGGCCTTGTTGTAGTTGTAGTTGCTGGGATTTATAGTTCACCTACAATCAAAAAGCAATTTGAACCCCACCAATGATAGAATTGGGCCAAACCTCCCACACAGAACCCCCATGAACAACAAAAAATACTGTGTTTTCTGATGGTCTTTAGTGACCCCCCTGGCATCTCCTGGCGACCCCTCCAGGGGTCCCGACCCCAGGTTGAGAAACACTGCCATAGATGCAGGTGAAACGTCAGGAGAGAATGCTTCCAGAACATGGCCATACAGCCCGAAAAAACCTACAACAACCCAGTGATTCCGGCCATGAAAGCCTTTGACAATACAGTAGGTCAAATGATTTCCTTCTGATGATATCAGACTTTGGTCATTGGAAAACTATGTTGGGGTTCAGCCTGATCCTGATCTGTGTGAACAGGATTCTCTGATAGTTTTTCAAACTGAGCGAGCTCTCCCTGACTCTGACAGTGTGGAATCTGTTGTTGATGCAGAGGTCAGTGGGAATGAAAACGAAACCCAACAGTTAGAAGAGAATGTTTTGGAAGTTAGCCGTGATATCTCCCCACCTGGGCTTGATAATGAGGTCCGAAGAGAACAGATAGTGAGAGATAGATTTGTTTCCCAGTCTGTACGAAGGTCACAGCGGCTTCAGCAGAAAGAGGCCCAAACAGAAAAGTCAAGGGGCGTTTCTAAGAATAGCTTCTTTGGTTTAAGAGCATCCCTGCCGTGTGCTTCTTTAGGTCAAGCAACGTTCAGGACTGTGGCTGGTCTTGGCAGAATTCCTGTGTTCCATGGCAAGTAATCCCAGAGGCTTCTAGTTTCCAAGTTCATGGTTAGTAAAAGGCTAACAGACTCCTGGTTATTGTTTTGTGGCTTTTGAAGTTTTGCTCAAGTTCAGAGATCCTATTGACTACTGTGTTTTTCTGTGGCTTTTTTACTCTGCATTTACCTTTCTTTTGTAACCAATTTTTCATCAATAAACAAGGATTGCTTTTCCTACAGTCCAGAGTGGTGGATTTAATCTTATGGTCTTGTTTCTTGAACTGGGATGCAACAAACTATTTGATAGGCATGCCGTTACTGATAAGGAGAAGACTGCAATCTTGCCGAGATGACTTTGCCTGAGCAGACGTGCTTGCGCTGTGCTGCGTTGTTGTTTGTATAAATAATGTAAATAAAGCTAATTGCTTTATGGCTGCAATCTATCCAAGTTTTATTACCACATTTGTCTACAACTCTCGACAATGTGATGGCAAATCAACTGAGAACTCCTGAATGAAATGGATAGTTTGCTAGTGTGTGATGGAAGTAGGACAATCGTGAATTTAATTACAAAATGGAGAATGCCAGAGCTGGAGGGTAAGGCTGCTCTTCCAAACACTTGACAACATTCAATGGGATGAAGCCTTAGGATTGCTTTAAAGAAAGAGTTTATTGGAAAGGAAGGATGGAAGGAAGGAAGGAAGAAGAGAGTCGGAAAGGGCTCCCAGAGGTCATCGAGCCCCATCCTGTCAGGCAGGAAGGAACCACCCAAGCCCTCCCGACAGATGGCCATCCAGCCTCTGTAGTGGGAAGCCGAGGTGGCACCTGGAGGACTTCTGGGCAGCTCAGAGGCAGTCCTCCTCTTCGGTATCTTCCAAGCTGAACTTGCAGATGAAGCTGTTCTTCCGTTCGCAGATTTCGTCGTTCCACTTCTTAAATTCTAAATGGTAAGAAAGAGGGATTTGTTGGGGAAAGGTTTACGAGAAGCAGAAGCAAAAGACCTCAGGTGAGCGCCATTATTTCCCCCTTTGCTGGTGGAGGCCAGGCACTCTTGGGCGCTTCTCTTCCTCCCTCTCTTTCCGGTGCTTCCATCCTGGTTGTGTCCTCTCTTCCCCCATGGACTCTCCTTCCCAGGGTGAATCTACACTCTAAACGTAATGCACTTTTGTATTGTCGAAGGTTTTCATGGCTGGAATCACTAGGACAATTTCAACAGGAAGGAGGAGACCATGAAAATGAACAAAATCTGGCTACCAGTATTAAAAAAACTCTAAAATTACAACAACAAAACAGCAGAGAGGAAACAACCAGGCACATCTTAACACCTCTCAACAAAACATTTTCCCAGGCTTAGCCAGGCCTTCAAATGCTAATGAAGGTGGTCAGTTGAAACATTCACACCTAGCTCCAGCAGAGAAGAGCTCTTTGCCCCACCCCAGTCATTCCACAGATATATAAACCCATTTTCCTAACTCCAACAGACCTCACTACCTCTGAGGAGGCTTGCTATAGATGCAGGCAAAATGTCAGGAGAAAATGCCTCTAGAACATGGCCATATAGCCCAAAAAACCCACAAGAACGTAATGCACTTTTGCTACCAAAATCAACTATCTACCACAAGGGGGCAGTGTAGGTCCATTGCCCAGCACACTATGCTACCTTGAAAGCCAGGAAAAACATATTATCTAGGCTTGAAGGCAGTAACAGAAGTCTTATTCATCTGGCCAGGTGGATGTCAGAGCAGTGTAATCGCTCCAAAGAACTGACATAACATACAATACAAGGGATGAGGGATAGGGCCTTCTCGGTGGTGGCCCCTCGACTCCGGAACTCTCTCCCTAAGGACGTCAGGCAAGCCCCGTCACTAGCAATCTTTAGGAGGAGCTTGAAAACGTGGTTGTTCCAGCGTGCCTTCCCAGAATAAGGAAACTCCTTGCATTATGTCCCAACGCACTTCATTAGAGATCCAGGATATCGGCATGCGCACCCCCCTCCAAACTCCCCACCTTCTCATGCCCAGCACTTTTAATTTTTAATTTTAATTATTACATTTGGCCCGGCCATTATTTTTAATTGCGTCATTGGATGTTGTTAATGTATTGCTATTCTTTGCTATTGCTTTGTTTTTTGAGTTATTGTGTTGCTGTTGTTGTTTTATTGTTGTATTTGGGCTTGGCCTCTTGTAAGCCACACCGAGTCCTTCGGGAGATGGTAGCGGGGTACAAATAAAGGATTATTATTATTATTATTATTATTATTATTATTATATATGAATTTACAGGAAAAACGAAATGCAAAGATACAGAATGGGGGACAATGAGGCCTGGCTCGAGAGCAGTACGTGTGAAAAAGATCTTGGAGTCCTCGTGGACAGGAAGTTAAACATGAGCCAGGAATGTGATGTGGCAAAAAAAGCCAATGGGATTTTGGCCTGCATCAATAGGAGCCTAGTGTCTAGATCCAGGGAAGTCATGCTCCCCATGCTCTATTCCGCTTTGGTTAGGCCACACCTGGAATATTGTGTCCAATTCTGGGCACCACAATTCAAGAGAGATTGACAAGCTGGAATGTGTCCAGAGGAGGGGACTAAAATGATCAAGGGTCTGGAGAACAAGCCCTATGAGGAGCGGCTTAAGGAGCTAGGCATGTTTAGCCTGAAGAAGAGAAGGCTGAGAGGAGATATGATAGCCATGTATAAATATGTGAGAGGAAGCCACAGGGAGGAGGGAGCAAGCTTGTTTTCTGCTTCCTTGGAGACTAGGACATGGAACAATGGCTTCAAACTACAAGAGAGGAGATTCCATCTGAACACGAGGAAGAACTTCCTGACTGTGAGAGCCGTTCAGCAGTGGAACTCTCTGCCCCGGAGTGTGGTGGAGGCTCCTTCTTTGGAAGCTTTTAAACAGAGGCTGGATGGCCATCTGTCAGGGTTGATTTGAATGCAATATTCCTGCTTCTTGGCAGAATGGGGTTGGACTGGAGGGCCCATGAGGTCTCTTCCAACTCTAGGATTCTATGATTCTATGATTCTATGAGACCTTGTGGGCCATCCAGTCCAATCCCATTCTGCCAAGAAGCAGGAAAATTGCATTCAAAGCACCCCTGACAGATGGCCATCCAGCCTCTGTTTATATATTTTTATGATGTATTTTCCTGTTATTTTGTGTCTATGTTGTATGTTATGTTGTGTTATTTGGGCTTGGCCTCATGTTAGCCGCCCCGAGTCCCCTTTGGGGAGATGGTGGTGGGGTATTAAATAAAGATTGTTGTTGTTGTTGTTGTTGTTGTTGTCTTCTTTGGATGCCTCTGACCTGATGAGATTTTTAGGCTTGGTAAATGATTAGATTAGTCCTCCCAGGAATGTTTGGGGCTGGGCTGGGGCTTGAAATCTCCTAAGTTCTGCTAGTAGGAGTCAGTAAAAACATGTTCTAAATGTTCAGTTTATATATTTAAATATCTACGTTTGTTATTTTTGAGTTGTTCTATAAGTACACCTGATGTTGTTTATTTTATTGTTTATGATTTGATTTGTTTGTTATGTTTGCCGGCATCGAATATTTACCAATTTTCTGTTGTAAACCGCCCTGAGTCTCCTTGGGGAGATAGAGCGGTATAGAAATAATAATAATAATAATAATAATAATAATAATAATAATAATAATAATAATTATTATTATTATTATTATTATGTTATAAATTGGCAGTGTCAAAGTCTTTATCATTATTATTAGGGGTTTGTCATTTTAAAAATATATTTTTAGATGCTGAACATTTTAAATACATTTAAATACTCAAAATCTCAACATTTTCAACACAAGAGTACTCATAGCATGTTAACTATCCCAGTTATAATGAAATAACTATTATATTGTTTTTCTGTCCTGGGATATCTGTAACCTGACGGTACAAAAGCAAATCTCCCTCTGAGGAAGTAATTAGTTCTTATTTAAAAATAAGTTAAACATGACACAATCAAGTCTAGTGAAGCACTTCCCATTCTTGATTTTAGATGTCCAAATTTTGATTTTAGTACTATTGAATTCCGTTTCCCGAGAAGCTTTGAAACCAGGCTGGATGGCCATCTGTTGGGAGGGCTTTGATTGCACTTTTCCTGCATGGCAGAAGGGGGTTGGACTAGATGGTCCATGGGGTCTCTTCCAAATCTATGATTGTATGCAATTCTAGCTGCCTACAGGACCCACCTGAGGAGCGCCAGATCTCTGCGCAGTACTCTCCGCTGTTGCCGTAGTTGTTGGGCTGACCAGGGCTCCATTGGGTATGGTCCATGAGCTGGCCATCCGTCCATTCCCAGAAGGAGCGGTCCGGGAACTGGGGAAAAATCCAAAATATTAGGGAGCTGGGCCAAAACAAACAGAATGGATTGCAACAGAGAGAAACGTACGGTGTCACCCTTTGTCAATAGAAATGACAGGCACCGATATGGGACGTGGGGCTCCTGGCGTGGAAACAGTCCAGGTCAAGGGGGTCTTGGGACACAAGCTGGACACGAGCCTGGAGTGTGATGCAACAGTTTACTTGTCCAAATGTATCTCCACCTACGAGCCTAAGATCATCCCGGGAAGCCCTGCTCATTGTCTCCCCATCATCGCAATCGCGTTTGGTGGGGACAAGGGACAGGGCCTTTTCTGTGGTGGCCCCTAGACCTTGACATTTGGGAGTTGTAGTTGCTGGGATTTATAGTTCACCTACAATCACAGAGCATTCTGAACCCCACCAACGATGGAATTGAACCAAACTTGGCACACAGTTCTCCCATGACCAACATAAAATACTGGAAGGGTTTGGTGGGTAGTGTCCTTTGGTTTTGGAGTTGTAGTTCACCTACAGCCAGAGACCACTGTGGACTGAAACGATAGGTCTGGACCAAACTTGACACAAATATTCCATATGCCCAAATATGAACACAGATGGAGTTTGGAGGAAATAGACCTTGACATTTGGGAGTTGTAGTTACTGGGATTTATAGTTCACCTACAATCAAAGAGCATTCTGAACCCCACCAACGATGGAACTGAACCAAACTTGGCACACAGTTCTCCCATGACCAACAGAAATTACTGGAAGGTTTTGGTGGGTTTTGGAGTTGTAGTTCTCCTACATCCAGAGAGCACTGTGGGCTCAAACAATGATGGATCTAGACCAAACTCTACACAAATACTCAATATGCCCAAATGTGGAGTTTGGGGGAAATAGAATCTAGACATTCAGGAGTTGTAGTTGCTGGGATTTGTAGTTCACCTACAATCACAGAGCATTCTGAACCCCACCAGTGATAGAATTGGGCCAAACCTTCCACACAGAACCCCCATGACCACCAGAGTGGGCCACGGCAATGTGTGCCAGGGGACGGCTAGCAAATAAATAAATAAATAAATAGGCCAATGCAATTCTAGGCTGCGTCTATAGGATCACAGTGTGTACACTGAGGAAAGTGCTATTCCTCGTACCTTGCTGGGGTTGTGGAGCCCGATCCAGATGTCCCCATCAGGTTGGAATTTGGACAGGAACTTCCGGACTCGGCAGCATTCCCTCTTGCTCAGGATGGAGACCAGGTGGCCATCCCAGCTCTGGCATTCTTTCTATATGAAAGGCAAGCAGGGAAAGGTGAGATTTGAGCTGTACCAGGTGTCAACAGCGGGTGGAGGGGGTGACAAGCGCCTTCCTTTTGGGGACACCTTCCCACTCACCTCTGCCTCCTTCCAGCACTTCTTTTCGGGGAAATAGCCGTAGCAGCTGTCCTTGTAGTGCATCCAGTTTTCCGGGCAAGGGGAAGCAGAGTCTCCCGGGTCCGTCTCAGCTGCAATTGCAAAACGAATGGTGTGACGGCTCAAGTGGCACCACCTATATGTTGTAACTCAGCGTGTGCCTTCTGTATCTACTAGTGCTAGTAGGAGGAAACGAGGCTTGGAAGAGGAAGATGCTCAGCAGCAGCTGAAGCGCATTAGGGACATGTTCCTAGAATCTAGTGATGAGGAAGAGTTTCAGGGGTTTACTCATGAGGAGATGGAGATGGAGGATTACCGTGGTGTAAAGCGAGTAGCACGCAGTTCAGATAGCGATGAGGAATCCATTTCCAAGCGTCTTAAAGACATAGCAGATAGCTACGGGTCTGAAAGTGATGATGAAGAGCTGGACTGGACTAGGGTCCAGGAGGTTCAGGATGTGATTAATGCTCCAACTTCCAGTGGGGAGTTCCAAGGGTTCACAGACTCATGGGTTTCGGATACTGCTTCTCAGGATGCAGCCCGGAGTGCAGACTGGCAACAATGGAGGGAACGCAGTTCACCTGTGGAACTGGATGCACCTGGAGGCGAATCCAGCGACTCTGATGGGATTTAAGGAGTAGCTTTGGGGCTATCATGTTGCAGAGTTCAAAGTGTCGTGTACCTGTGTATCCTGCCGTTAACTCTTGCCTTGAGTCCTTGCATCCAGAATCGTGTTTCGTGATCGTGCTGACTACTTTGCCTGGCTTGGAACCGTGAGTCTTGTCTCCTGCCCTGACCTTGGACCGTCTTGACTATTCTTCAATTCTGCCTGTCTCCTGCGTGGACTTCGGACCGTTCCTCATACTGCTTTTTGTGTTGTGATTTTTGAACTGACTGTATTCCATTCTAACCACGAACTGTTTTGCCTGCCTTACTTCAGTTTCCTTTTTTCTGCCCAGACTGCCTGGGCTCCTGCTTTGTTTACATTCCTGCAAGCCGCAGGCTCTTTTGTTTATTAACGCTCTGCTGATAAGAGCCATTTGACTTGTTAATTGCCATTAAACTCCTTTTGTTAACCCTTAAGCGGCTGTTTTGCCTCGTTGCTCTGCCTGGGTCTTGACACTATATGTATAACTGTTAGTTGCAAGATTTAAACTGTTGTATCATGCTTAATCCTGCCTTTTTACCCTGCTTATGTATAGTTGGATTGATTGGTTATTTATAGCTGTCAATCAATGTTGTTTGCACCAGTTGAATTGCTTTCTCAGCTCAATTGTTTGGCTCCACCTCTTCCTGGAGGAGGGGAGTGCTTCCCTCTTTCATTCCACCTCTAAAATCAGGACAGTAAATAAAGAGCAACACTCGGAAGCAAGGGAAATCCAGATAGCAAGCATCGGATTTTCTACCAGATGGATGTGAGTAAGAGACTTGGCTCTTTTTTTTAAATTCTGGGAGCCAGATTCTAGGCCACATCCATAGGATTACAGCAATCGAGTGCCAGTTAAGACCTTCCAATGTGGATCACAGCCAAGCGTGGTCTGGGACAACAAAATGAAGCGGGACGTAGGCTGATAGGATTTTGCCGGGAAAACTCACTGTGTATAATGAACACTGTCTTCCAACAACCTATCTCTCCTCCTATTTTTATGAATGGACTCTGACTACTTAGTGCTTCCCTGAACTTCCATCCTCCCCCACCCACCCTCCCGAACTATTATGAGTTCTTATGAACTTTCATGAATTTTATGGGAACTTTTATAAACACTTGCTAAACTTTATGAACTTTTATGGACTTTGGGGGGCTGTCATGACTTCCCCTTAGACCCTGCATGATTCCCCCTTTTCCTATGAACTTTGTGTTTGCTCCCTTGTCCCGTTCCTCGTTCCCTATATGTATGTATGTCTATTAGGGCTGGGCAACCATGGAAAAATTTGTTTCTAAACTCGATTCGTTTTTTGGGGTTTTTTGCGTTTCGATATTTAAAAGAATTCCGAAATTTTTCTTTAAAAAAGTTCGATATTTACGAAATTTCGTAAAATTACGAAACAATACGAAACGAATAAGAAACGAATACGAATCGATTCGTTAATGGCGGACGCGACCGCGCAATACGCTAAAAAACCTCCAAATGGGACAGGGGGAACTTCTGAAGCTTCCCTCTCCCTCTGTTGTTGACTGTTGGTGTGATATTTATAATTTTTTTTCACTGATTAAACAAACAACAGCTATAAAACTTGCCCCAGACATGCGGAAATAATAACGAAACGATTTCGAAACGAATACGAAACAAATACGAAGCAATTACGAAACGAATTGAAAAATTCGTTTCGTTTTTTAGATGCTCCTGAATGGTTCGTTATCGCTTTGTAACAAAAAAAATAACGAATTTTTAACGAATTACGAAATTACGAAACGAAACTGCCCAGCCCTAATGTCTATATTAGAAAATATGAAGGAAAGCAACCCTTTCATGAACCAGCAACTCATGGCTCTTGGAATTTCCAAACTTTCTGGGCTGATAATCTCCTAACAAAGGACTCAACGCGATCCATTTGCATGGACAATAAGTAAATGGCTCTATCTATCTGGACCTCGGAGGGCTAATAGCCAGGCCATCCAGAACAATGGAGTCTATGGACATACTGGATTACCCAACACAAAGGACATCTCCCCATCTACGAGGAACCAGGGATTTTGACAAACACATGATCACAGCTTTAAAAACATACACTTTGAAATCGCCCAATCAATCAAAACATGGTTCAACAGATTTGTCCTCTGCCTCCCTGCTGTGCCACATCCTGTTCTCCCGAAACTAGCATCTACTTCATCAATGAACTCCATATCGCAGGACAGTGTGACAAAGACCTGGCCTCTCGGGGCTAGATAGGAATGTTAATTCACGGAATCAAACAATAACTTAGGCCGGGCTTGAGAGCCTAAAGCTATCACCCAGCCATTTGGCAAACACCGGTCACCTTAATCCAGTCAACTAGACATTTCTTCATTGTTTCCCTATTGTCCGCCTCCCTTCCACCTCATTGGCTGGGCGGTCAAAAGCAGGGCCAGAGCCCTCATTGGGTCTCCTCCTGGCTTGTTGATGTCACAACCAATTATAACAAAGCCAGCTCGGGGGGGGGGGGGGGGGGGGGGGGAATGGGAACTTCTGAATCTGAAGGCTATATATTAGGCTTGGTTGATCCAGTTCGTTAATTTCTTAATTCGTTATTATTTCGTTAAATAATTACCTTTAGAAGCGATATCGACGTGTTTTGGCAACCCGGAAGTGTTTTTGCCATATCGAAGCCGCGTCCGCCATCTTCCTTACGACTTCCATCAGTGAATTGTAAATGCTGGGGGCGTGGCCTTTAGGAACAGCTGTTCTTACCCATGCCTACCTCCTTCCTCTTTGCATCAGTGGCTTTGCGCAGTGGGCGTGACTACCTCCCTGGCGACAAGCGGCGATGCGGAAGAGCTGGGCATAGCCACGCCCACCTCGCAAAGCCACCGATGCAAAGAGGAAGGAGGTGGGCGTGGCCAAGCACAGTGCTCCTTGCTCGGAGGTCGCTGGGGGCGAGGCCTCCGTGGAGCGCTGTCCTTGGCCACGCCCACCTCTCCCTTGGACAGCTTGCCAGGGAGGAGAAAGAAAGGTGAGAGATTTAAAAACCAACACTTTGACTATGTCGATTTTGTTGGCAGGCTATTGCAATCATCATCCTTTCCAGCTGGAATGAAATAAAACCTCGGTGGCTTTCTCTTCAACTTGGTGAGATTTATTCTAGAATACTTTCTTCTTTTTGCACCAGGCATCCCACAATGGCTTGGATCTCTCTGTCCACATCCATTCTACAATCTCACTAACATTCCTAGTGAATATGCAGTGGTCGGAAGCGACTGAACGAATACACAACAAAACAGAGGGCGCCTCCAGGCAACAGAGGCCAGACTACCCTTATGCAGATACCCTCACTGATTGACTTTGCAGCTGCAAGGCTACTCAATGCTATTCTAGCTTGCTAACTTGCTTTAACAGACACTCCACTTGTCTAATTTGCAGCAGATTTCTGAAGATGCCATTAGGCACAGATGGAGGTGAAATGTCAGAAGAGAATGCTGCTGGAGCATGACCATGCAGCCTGGAAAACTCACAGCAACACAAGCTTTTGACAAAGTGTGTTTTGTATTGTACTTTTTTTTCAAAAAAAAATTGTATATACAAAAAAATGCAGAAGTGTCAGAAGCCACACTGGAGTCCCTCCCTTGAGGGGTCCACAGGTAAATCCCCCCCCCCAAAAAAGGGAGGCCTCTCACCTTTGAGGAAAGGGGCGTAAGCCAAACAGGTGAGGAGCCCCAGAGAGAAGTAGGCTCCCGGCCCCATCTCTGGTTTCGTTCTCGACCTGGAAAGAGATGCAAGAAGGAAAGGGAAGGGGTCAGGAAAAGGGGGGAGATGAGATGCCCCCCAAATAGGGTGACTGACCAGGAAGGAAATGAGGGTCCTGCTTTGGAAAGGCAGTATACACATACAGTAAATAAATAATAAATAAATTATTTTTATGACTGTCTGCACACCTTTCTTAGCAGAGCACGTTAGTCTTTGCCAGAACTACAAATCCCAGGGTTTTGCAAATGGGTTCAATTGAATTATAGTGGGATTGAACTCCTAATGGCTGAGCAAACACACCTTTTCACCACCAGCAGCAGCTTCACCCACAATTCAGTTTAAGGGACATATTTTCCCATTTGACTGGGTGCAAATTTCTGCCCTCCCTCCAGCTGACTTCAGTCTACATTACTAGATCATCCGGGATAAGCAGACAATCTGGGATCTGATCCTGAGGCCCCTTCTACATGCCCTCTGTCCCAGGATCTGGTCCCAAATTATCCCAAATTATATGGAAGTGTAGACTCATATAATCCAGCTCAAAGCAGATAATCTGGGATCAGATCCTGGATATATGACAGTGTAGATCCAGCTCCTGACTTCAGTGACCAGGTCTCTGAGCAGTTGGGACACTGACCACTGTGGGTCAGCCACTCACCTGTCTGTGTGTCAAAAAGTTCTCCGGTTGCAGGTGACACCTGAGGGCAGGTAGGCAGAGGAGCCCAGTCCCTTTATAGATC